GAGGAAAAAGAAAATACCGATATTAAAATAATATTATATAAAGAGCCGGATATTTTCCCGTTACCTTACCTTGCTACGAATAATGCATGGAAGAAATATCATGCTCAGAGGCTAGGCATTCTCATTCGTCATCAAGAATAAAAAGACATCGAATTAAGAATTTAAGTTATCAACCTAAATTTGAGGCTGTTCTTGGTGACGGAAATTGTTATTATCGCTGCTAGAGCAAAGAGATCATAGGCAGCGAGGATTACCATGCAATTATAAGGGGATCTATAATCTCTTATATGATGCTGTTGGAAAATAATGATATTTTTACTGATTTTATGGGGAAGGACATAATAAAACATTTGGTTGATACAAAAAAACATCAACTTGGAACGTGGGCGTATGAATTAGATATCGTAGCATCTGCTACAATTTTCTAGACGCCAATTATTTTTTATTGTAAAAATGGAAATGAAATGAAATATATTACATATTCTGCATTATCAAAAATGGACTGTATAAAAAATTTTAATTTAAATATATATTTGATAAATGCATCTTCAGATCATTTTAATCGTATTATAGTGTAAACACTCAATTTTTTGTGATAATTATGTTTCCTTTTTTGGAATATATTTTCTTTTTATAATATTTTTCTTGTTTTTTTGAAATAAAATTGTGTATATCCTTTTTATTTAAATAGTATTAAGAAATCAGCCAGTTTTAATATTATTGCAATAAAATATATATATACAAACAAAAATAGTTGTTTCAGTTTAAAAGAATAATTTAAACATTAAGATTTGATTTTAAACTTAATTTTATATCTGTATAAAAAATTTTGTATTCCATAAATATATGTGTTAAATTTTAATCAGCTAAAATATAATTATATATATACATCTAATAAATAAAATGACGATTTTAAGAGGCCAAGAAGAGGAAATGATTAATTAGAGTGATAGATAGTGATTGAGATGCTTTGACATAATAGAAAACCTTATTTGTTTGTGATTTGCTTACATTAGTCTACTAAAATTTTAAGGCTTGAGATTCCAATAAATACGATGTATGAAGAAAATTTGTATACATTTTATTTATTTAAAATTTTCTGCAATAATTATATATACATCTAATAAATAAAATGACGATTTTAAGAAGCCAAGAGGAAATGATTAATCAGAGTGAGTGATTGAGATCCTTTGACGTAATAGAAACCCTTATTTGTTTGTGATTAGCTTACTTTTGTCTATTAAAATTTTAAGGTTTGAGATTTAATAATATGATGTATGAAGAAAACTTGTATATATTAAACAAATAAAATTTATATAGGATATTAAGAATTGTAAAATAAATAAACTCCCTTAAAAAATTATATAAAAGAATAGAAAATCATTTATATAATCATAAAAATATTTTATAATTTTAATGGCCGCCAATATATTTGAAGCGATGAATAAATATATAATAAATATTTTAAAACTTTAATGGCCCCCATATATTTGAAACGATGAAAAAATATATAATGAATATATATTTTACAATTTTAATGGCCGCCGATATATTTGAAGCGATGAAAACATCTCTAAAAAATCAATACGGTATTGATTCTACAATACCAAAATATCACTACGATATTGAATCTACAATGATAATATCAATACGGTATTGAAACTACAATGGGTATTGATTTCACAATCCTACAGCGGGAAGATAAGGAAGGCTAAGTTAAAAAAAAGGAAGATAAGGAAGGCTAAGTTATAAAAAGGAAAATAATATTTTCGGTAAAGGGTTCCAATAAGAGCGATATCTTTCATAAGAAATGGAGAAATTTTGTGCACCTTGACCGATATCGAATAATTGATTTTATTTATTTTAAACGGAGATATTTCAGATTACATAATTCCTAATCTAAAAAGGTAAAAAAAATAATTTAATTTTGTCAAAGCTTATATTATAAACTTAATAACTCGTTTTAAAAAAAAATAAAGAAAGGAAAACATTGTTATGATATAATTATTTAAATCCAGATATTTATATTTTTTTTTGCAAATATTAATTACGTTTTAAGATTAAATTCGATATTCATAAATGAAATGATATATTATAATAGTAAGCAAAATACAAAATTCCACGAGGTGTTACATTTAAAATATATGAATTATTAAGGAGAAAGAGATTAAGGAAAAGAATTGGTTAGTAAAATAGAACATTCAAATGAAAATTGGCGAACCGTAATATAAATGGGTAATGATGTAAAGCGTTGAACTTTATTAATTTTTATGTTTTATTAAAATATTAGATAGCGTCGTAATTTTATCTTTATATTCAAAAAAATTTGATGCTTTCGAATAGCGTCTGTGCCCTAGTCGGTACAGGTGTGTATCACAATCCGATTGTTCTAAGTTCGAATCCAGCAAGTATCATGTTTTTTTAAGGCAACTAAGTGATTTTGTACTTATGGGGATGTGAGGGGGGAGGGTTATGATACACCACTTGATTCCGTTAATAATTGTTAAAATATATCTTGATTGTTCTTTAGCAAGTGAGCTAACGTCATATAAATTAACCAATATTATTTTCAAAATATAAAGTGGATAGACGAAAATGGAAAAATTTGAAACTGATGTGAAGGGGTGAAAGATAAATAATTTTGGCCATTTGGGTGAAGAATAGGATATTTTATTATGGTATATCAGAAACGTGAAGGTCCGTACCAAATCAACTTTTGTTATAAGAAAAGAACCAATACTCTTGGTATCGTGGAGATTCTTTTAGTTTTAACAGACATTTTCGGCACATACTAAATTATATTAATTATTTCTTTTTAAAATTTATATTTTTTTAACTAAAGATTTTCTTATTATGAATATCCATTTGGGTGGCTCCTTTTCTGTATCCGCTAATAGAAAAAATACACTGCTGCTAGTTGAAATAAAAATATTTTGGGGGTAAGCGGGAAGAAGATAAAAGATGTGATACATATTTATATTATTACATCTCTTTTTTAAATCTAAACATTAAACCTTATATACATAAAAATAAGAATCTTTAAAACGAATCAAACAATTTGCTCTTTCGTTATAATAAATCGAATAAGAATAGAAATAAATTATATTTTACAAATAATTCATTATCCAACATTAGTTTTTGAATAGGCCTGGTGCCAAATATTGTTAGAATCAAGTATTTCTTAAAAAAGGTGGCATTGATGGATCTGATTTACAAACCTACATCAGACCTTGACCTATATGTGGATTCCTAAATTAAATTTTGACAAATTTTCAGTAAGGAGGATTAATGATATTAATAAACTAGACTGGTAGACAATTCATTCACAAATAAAATATATCTAAAAAAAGTGTATAGAATGATTTTAATAAAAATTACAATTTTTAAAATTAGTAGTAGAGATTTGCAAATCAAACCTAGGCCATTTAAAAAATTTTGGTTCGGGCTGGGTAGGGTCTAATATTTTGCAAATAATTTTGGGCCATCCAGGTCAAGCTTAAATTCTTAAATATATTATTACATTTTGTCAAATAAATTGACATATTTTTTAATTCTTGCAAGAAATAAGGTCTATATTTTAATAAATTCTGGCTATGGGAAGACAACTAATTTTTATTTCGGGTCAGGTTTTTTGGGACAAATAAATAATAAATTTGTTTGAGATTGGGCCAGGCTTAAAAAATTAGACTCAATGTAGATCACTAGTAGGTAGTAATTTATTTAATTTTTTTAAATTATATAATTTTATCACATCATTTATATTTTTTTATCTTGAATTTTTTTCTTAATTTAATTTTAACTAATTTATTAAAATCAATAATTTTATAAATCACCTGATTTAAATCAAAATTTTTATTTACACACCTTGAAATTAATAAAAAATTACATAAATTATCTGCTTCTTAGTTCAATATGATTTTCACCTTAATACCTGTTTTTTTACCTTAAGCTTAGTGCATTATTGTTTACTTATCGATATATAAATATTAATCATTAAATAATAACTATTTGATAAAACCTCAAGTAGAAATAATAAGTATATTTTTCAGGCATACTCTGATATCAGTATTGTCTGATATTCACAGCATCAGTCATATTTATATTGGCTGATACTTTCAATTATAACATCATTATTAACCATTATAAATTTTTAAAAAAAATTAGCCATCAAATTTCTAAATAGATAAGAAAATAAAGTGTTGCTAATTCTTTTACTTCTAAAATTTTGTTATAGTAATAACTTAATTATGAAGAATATGCATATAAAATAATAATGTATAGACTACAGGCTTCATTATAATTGAAAGGTTTCAAACATTTTTGTGGAAATGGAGACTGGGAAAGTCATATATTTATTGAAATTAACATAAGTTTTATTTTGCAATATATCTCAACATTGTATTGGTATGAGCAAAAAAAGTGTTGTAAGTGAATCTATGAAAAATTTTCCTAAATAAGTTTTATTTTACATTAACTTATATCGTTTATAAAACTAAATCAAACATATTAATTTTAAGTTAATTATTGTATGATATAAATTCTAACTAGGAAATTTATGATATTATTCTAATTAAATGTTTTCAAAATATATAGTAATGCAATTAAATTTTTTTTTAAAATATGATCTATAATAAATGATAAAATTTATAAATTAGGTGCTTAAGAAACAATAAGTCATATTCTATTAAGAATAAATTTTCAATATAAGAATTGCCATTAGAGATTAAAAAAGCCCACTTTGAAATTACTCTTGAATATTTCTTTGCCCAGTCTATAAAATATTTTTGCATTAGTTGTCTAGCTTGAATATATTTTTTTATGAATAGGACTTAAATTTTCCTAATACAAAGCTTTAATTAAATTTAATAAATTCCAAACCAGTCTATAAAATATATAAGATCATTTTACTAGAGTTTGGATCAGGCTTGGCAGATTAATTACCAATTTTAAAAAATTTTTTTACTTTTAAATTTATCAATATTGTAAACTATATATTTTACTTTTAATGAATTATAATCGTGTATTTCCAATTCCAATAATTACATCATCATAGCAAAGGTTGGTCAAAATAATTAACAACTTTAAAAATTGTAAAACTTGCATGTCTATAAATTTTTCATTTTTTTTATAAAGTTTAGGTAATACGTTGTAAAATATAAAAACCTTGATGGATTGTGATGTCAATCATCAAATATCCTAAAATGGAGGAGGAAATAAAGTTTGGCATAAAATTGGGAAGAAAATTACTAATTATATTTTGTTTATAAATATCAAATTTTTTCAATCAAAATATTTCAATGAATTAGTTTTAATAAGTATGATATTATGTTAGAAATTGAAGTAAACTATTATAAATTATGTAAGGATTTAAATTATGACTTATGCAACCCCAGTCAGATTTTATAAATAATTCACTTGACAATAGTCTTAGGACATTAAACAGGAGTGAAAAAGATTCCCTTTAACCATGATATCAGTTTAAAGAGATTTTGATTAATCCTTATAATAAAAAAATAATAATAAAATTATCAAATCCCGTTTTATGTATTGTATTATAATTTATATACTTATATATTTTGGTATATAAGTTCACCTTATTATTATTATAGTTAATGATCAACTCAATATTTATTTGCACATTTATTTTTACAATACATTAAATTTTAGCTTTATTGAATATATAACCTGCAGGCCCGTCCGGCTCTAAAAAAATTTAGATAGCCGGGCGGAATGGACCTAAAATATTTATTTAAAAAAATATCCAGACCTGGTCGGGCCGAATATTTTAAAACCAAATATTTTAAATTGCCATTATTAGCTATAAAAATTAAAAATAAATAAAATATATTTTAAAAAAAATTGGGCTGGGATGGGCCTGTAAATATAAAACTCGGGCCGGGTTAAAATAAATTCTTGAAAAAAAACCCGGACCCGGACGAGTCGTGCAAAGCTAATAGTACATCTGCAGATCTCTGATATGAAGAATACATCATCATTAATATTCACGCCTGTTGTAATTGTGGTAATATTCAAATTTACTAGATTAAGAAAAACGCCAGACAGGCAAATTACTTTTAAACAAAATTACGAAGCCGAAAGATATTCAAATCTACTCAAGAAAAAAGAATTTAATCTCGGTACAAATTGAGACTATGCAAATGTTGATTAAAGAAAAAGGATATATAATGGAGAAATTATGATGCGAAAAATGATGATTAAATTATTATTTTTAACTTAAATTTACTTTTTAATTTTTCTTTTTTTATATTAATTTTAATTTTTCTTTTATTTTGATTATGTTTTTCACTTTGTATTTAATTATGTTTATTATTATTTAATAAAGGATTCAACTATAATTTTAGTATATATTTCTTTTTATATTTAGGTTTTGATTTCCAATGTCAAATCTTGCTTTCTTGACAGTGATGCCGAAACCCGGGATTGAACCAGGGCAATTCTAAAAATAATATAGCACACTTTGAGCGAGGGCATCACCAGAATTTTCAATTTGTGGGGGCCTGGTTGTTCAAACTTTAATGTTCTTTATAAATATTTCTTTCGAGTATTTGCTTAATAATTTGTATTACCAAGAAATTTTGAGGGGTCTTCAAAGTTTTAATAGGACTTGAGTCCCCAAGAGCCCTAGCCTAGTGATGCCACTGGCGGCAACTATTTGAATTACGGTATAAAAACATTTTTGTGATGAATAATAGATTCATTTGAATATTTATAATTATTCTCATAATTTATATTCGGTAGTTCATTTAGATTTATAATATTATTAAAAAATTATTATGTTATTCAGAGATATTTATATCAAGGTAAAACTTCTAAATATAAAGAAAATAAAAATTCTCTGAGAATAAAGAAGATATATGTTTGAAATAAATAATTAACTAAAGAGGGAATATTAGGGAATTTTTTCACTAATTAAAGGTGAGAAATAAAAGATTTTGAAAGAACTTATCTTGCCGATTTAACAATAAGGTTTACAAAAAAAAAGAAGAGATATCTAATATTTAAACATGATCGTGAGATGAACAAAGAATACCATTTAGAGTTATTAAATATTGGAAAAAAGGTTTTGATTAATTAATAAATAAATATGTAAGAAAGTAAAAGTGATTCCTAAGACCATAAAATACTAATGGCTATTAGAGACAAAGATTAGCAAAAAAAAATAATCTACTAAATAGGTAATATCTTGAATTTTTTTCTGTAACAGATTGAAGAACATTTTTTTAGACAATTTTAAGAATAAAATTTTGAGGTTTACAAGAAAGAAAAAGTTATTAAAGATGTTGAGATATATATAATAATAAAACATAATAGTGAGATGAATGAAGATGATGGGTTACTAAATATTAAATAAAGGGATAACTATAAAAGGATTTTGAAAATCTAGGAAGATGACATGCTTCAATGCGATTTGGAAAAGAAAGATATTTATAAATGAGTAAGAAATAAAAAGAAAAAGCTAATATCATAAAGATATTAATAGCTGTTAATGGGAAGAAAAATAGCAATAAAAGATTAAAGACAATTAGTAGGAAATTTTAAAAATTTTACAATAAAACGTCAAAAAAATGATGAGGAATAAAAATTTTGGCAATTATTTTACCCGGTTTTTATAAATAATTAAGGTATGCCAAAAAGTAGCCTTTTTTTTAAAACGGCTAACTCATATTTTATCCGAAAAATATTATGCAAGACTGAGGATCTTACTTATAAATAGCTTAAAGTATAGGATAACTATTAGTGAAATCTCAAGGCTTAGGTAATATTTTTCGGGCTAATTTTGAGCTAGCCTGCTCAATTCAAGCCGTTTAACAACATTAGAAGAAAGAAGAGATGATTAAGTAAATTATGAGATATTTAATATTGAAATATAATTTAGAGATGAATGAAGAAGATCACGAAGAGTTATTGAATATTAAATACATAGAAAAATAAAATTTTGAAATCTAGCAAAGAAGACATGCTATGCGATTTGTAAAAATAATATAAATAGATGAATAAGAAATAAATAGCAATAAAGGGTTTAATTTATTTTATGAAAAAAATGTTAAGAGTCTTTAAATGGTGAAACGTAGAGATAAATTGCAATGAAGTGCTAACTATACTAATATTAGACAAATGGGTATTTAACTAAAAAAAATTGAAAGTACACGCAAAATAAGCAATTTATAAAAATTTAAAACTTCTTTGTAAAAATTAATTTTAGACAATTAAAATTTTCTGATCACCCTTTGAATTTAAGCAGTGAGAGCCAACGAACCGTTATAATTTAATAAACTGTAATAAAAAAAAATTTCCCTTATTCTTAAAAGGCGCCAATAAAAACTTTTATAACCATTGAAAACTAATTTTAGAACAGTTTTATTATAATATCTTAATTAAATTATGCACTTTACCATAGTCACTTCAACTAAAAAAAATGTACATAAAATAATTTATATTTTCGCCTTTTGTTAATAAAAAAATAGAATATTTTATTTTTTGAATTTATTTCATATTAATAATAAAAATAATTAAACTTATCAATTAATTTTATAAAATAGCATTATATTCAAAAAAATAACCCTTCACATATTAGAAAAATTTATAGAAATGGCAGACTATTTTTTTCTTCATTGTCAGGGCAGTGCGCATCCCTTGCTAGTTCCCTACACTCCATATTGCTTTATGATGCTATAGAAATATTAGCTTACATTACATTGCCATTCGTCTTTTTTCAATCAATTAAGTAAATTGGTATATTTGTTTAAGATGAGGTTTATCTTTGTTTTATATATAACTTCAATTGAGGCACTTTTAAACAACGGTTAAATTATGATTTTAAGCAAAAAAAATATTATCCAATTCTTGAGATTTCACATATAGATGGTCGTAGTTATGCAAAATGGCTCAATTTGGCCGATTTTTAAAAACAGCTAACTCAGTATTTTAGAAAAATATTACGCAAACTTGAAGACTTTGCATAGATGGCACAAAGAACTAGTGATCTGCATAGGGCCTAATTATTCAAGCCCGGCCCGATATTTTTAAAAAGTTTTGCCGGCCCGGCACGGCCCGAACCAGAAATCATTTAAGAAAAAATTTGCCGGTCTGGCCCTAATTTATTTAAATATAGAAATTAACATTTTTAAAATTATAATTTAAATTTTTTTTAAATTATTATACCCAAAATAAAATATATATGTCATATAGCTATTAGTTTCTATAAATAAAATTATATATTTTTATTACATAAAAAATTCAACATAAAAAATTTAGATATATTTGAAAAATTTCTAAGGCCCGACCCCATCAGGCCCAAATTTTTTTTTTAAATAATAGGCCGGGTATGGGTCGGGCATACTTTTGCAAATCTCTAGTTTGGACATCTACTAGAGGAATATTCGAGTAGGAAATATTTTTCTTGCTAAAAAATTGGGTTATCCGTTTTTAAAAATCGTCTCTAATGAAGCGATTTTATCAGATGGCAGAAAGGTTTGACTCCCTTTTGATTAAATCTCTAGGCTTAGGTAAAAGCCCCTAAATCGTAAAAAAAAAATCTTACTATTGAAACACCACATAAATTAGTATAAAATAGCTAATTCCATATACATAAATAAAACGTCTGCAAAATTAAAATAAATAATGAACTTTTCAAAACATTTTTTTTAGTGTGGAGTTTCAGATTTTTTGGGCTTCCTCCCGTATCAAATAAATCTGAAAATTTTTAAATAGTCCTAACACCAGTCGGACAAATATAGTTAATTAAAATTCTGGGCACATTTTTGTTTTTCAGACTTGTTTTGGAGACTTCTATTGTATAAATATTTTACAAATCAATTAATATAGTTCCTTTCAAATAAATAGGTAAATTAATATAAAACACATCTTAACAATATCTTTTATTTTAAAAATCAATATTTTTCAATGTATGCAATTAATCAATCTTTGGTAAGAACAAGGTTTCTTCAGTTATAAAGAATCTTAAAATATGAATTCCCCCCCCCAATAGAGATTGTTTTAGAAATTTGAGGGATTACCTTATATGCCAATAACATTTTTTTTTATATCTGAAATAATTATTTTTGTATAATTTTTTTTTAAATAAATTTTCTTCAAAATGTCAATTTTAAGTATATCTATATGCACTTTTTTATTAATGGTGTGTCATAGTGAAAATATGCTCATAGATTTTCCCATTACCGAATTGGTCAACCTGGAAGATATAAATGTGGGAGGTCTCTATGGAATATATGAAAGGAATACGAACCCTGTTTCTATGTGCTCGGAGGAATTAAATTATTTATCCATACTTAAAGCTTATAGTATGGTTTACATCATCGAGATGCTAAATAAAAATTTATTCCTACCCTCTCATAATATAAGTATCGGTTATTACATTCTGCCTACATGTTCTCATGTTGGAACTGCCCAAGTAAGATTAAACAAATCTTTATTTATTTTACATCATTGACTTTAAAATTATTTTATTAAATTTTTACAGACTTTCAATATTTGTATAGGATATAATAAGCATTGATTATTCGAAGGATTGTTCTATCTTTTAAATAAATTCAAAGATTTTATTGAGAGGAAAATTATAATTAATTATTTTTAAGAATGAATAAATATTTTCTAAAATGAGTTTCTAAATATCTTACTAATTTTATTTTTCAAAATAAAATTAAATTTCATAAAGATTTATTAGTCAATTTTCACCTGTTAATTTAAATAAAAAAAATGATGTGTAGATTCAGAGCATAATTCAAAACATAATCAGAAACAAAATTGGTTTGCCAGGATTAATCGGACCACTCAAAAGTCTAAGCGCCTATTACGTATCGCCATTATTATCATATTACCGATTACCGCACATAAGCCCTGAGGCGAGTTCAGTAGAACTCAAGGGACAAAAGTAATTTATTTCATATTTAATTTATTGTATTATGCAGTTCCTAATAATCTTTCTTAATAAAATTGTTAACTTTACTTTAAACTAATAATAACTATTTAATATCTTACAAAATTGTTTTTTGATAATTAAGGGTAAGTATTCAACAACTTGCTTAAATCTATATCCAATAAAATCAGCTTTTCCAAATTTATAACTCGCTAAGAAGTATTAAATTTTAAAGTTTAAAAATAATCCAATAATTTGATATAAATGTGCATACATTTTAGTATAGTGTTCTGTGTGCAATACATATCCTATAAAATTAAGAAAATTAGATCAAAAGCTTATTTTCGAATTTAATTTATCTAGGGAATCAAAGATATTTTGAGTTTAGGGTTCTTGTGAGTCCTAGGTTGAATACTCGAATGGTTATTTTTTCTATTAAAAATTTAGTATTTTCGTATATAAAAAAATTCCACATACACTATTAACCTATCTAAATTTTTCAAATCACCGAATTTTTAAATGATCAGAAATTATCCTTTAAAATTTTTTAAAATTTAATTTTACATAAACATAGTTTTTATAAGTAAAGTTTATAGTATGAATTTATTAAGTTATTCTAATTGTATGTGCGTTTGCCTTTTATGGTTTTCGTGATCCATGTTCCCTAATAGCCAACACCTATATTGCTAATTAGGTATTTGTTGTTCCTATAATTTTTTCGACTTGAAAATTATTGATTCCATTTTCATTATTTAAATTTAGCATAATTGAGTTTAAAATTTTAATTTGAAATAAAATAAATAATTATTAAATTTATTTTATATAATAGAACTAATTATGAAAACAAGGGAGAGACCTTAAAAATGTAAGAATTGGGATGATTAAAAAATTTAATAAGCAAATTTAGTAAAATGAAATTATACCGAAAACCCATATAAAATAGTCATTTTTTTTAAGGAATTAATAATTCCTTTTATATAGAAATTTGATTGGTAGATGAATAAAAATAATTTTTTTATTATTAAAAACTTAAAATAAAATTAAACCGAAAAATATGAAAAACATAAAGTCTATATTTATTGGAAGCAAAATAATCATATTCTTATATTACTTTAAGTAGTGTTGTTAAACAGCTCGATTTGAGCAGATTTCTAAAAACGGCTAACTCATTATGGTAGCCAGAAAAATATTGTCTAAGCCCCATTTCGCTAATAGATACCCAAACTGTTGTGCCATCGTTGAGCAAATTCGTCAGCCTTGCGTATTAATCTGGAAATATTGAGTTAGTCGGTTTTAAAATCGGCTCAAATCGAGCCGTTTAACAACACTAACTATAAGTAAAAATAATAAATATTTTTTAAAAATATCGTTTTATTGAATCGATCCATTCCATTTTCAAAATTTAATGAGGTTTCGAAATAGAAAAGTGAAATCAATCATCGGATATTTATTTCGGAGATTGAAGTAGATATTTTTTGACAATTTTAGACCTAGATATTTTTTAATTGCCACGTTTATAATTTATTTTTTGTATTGCTGATTTTGGATTCGGATTTTTATTTGAACAGGGCTGAAAATGAAATCATGGATATTTAATTTCCAATTAAAATAACATTCTAGCAAAGCAATTAACTTGAATAGAATATAGCAAGTTTGTATAAAAAAAAATTTATTTTAATTTTTAATTTATAACTTATAAAAAAAATATTTTTATGAGTATTTATTTGAATTTTAGAAATTTGTTTATAGGCGTAAATTTTCTTAAAAACTTTTTATTTGTAAGTTTATATAACCCTACATTCATAGTTAGCGCAAATTCGCTGCTGTGTACACAAAAATTAGTGTAAAATTATTATATTTATATCATATTTTATATAATTAGCCGCGAATTCGCGCTAACTGTGAATACAGAGTTAGGTATTTTTTTTCTTTCAAAATAAGAGGTATGCAAGTATTTATATTTTTATTTTAGTTCTGTTATCAACCATTTAAATATGGCCGGGGAAGCCATTTCAAAAAATTTATACTCCATTTATTATTGATCGAATATCCGGCTTAAATCTTGATATTCTTAAATTCATCCTAAGCACTGCCCATTAACGATTTAAACTCTTTGCTTTTATTTCATAACACGCCCATCTTGATGTAACCAGACTGCCAAAAATTATTGTATACGGTTCTCATGTTTTATTATTTACAATTCTTAACTTTTCAATATTTTATTATTATAGTTACTAATGTGTAATTCATTCTGCCTTTTATGCTACAGTATTTTAATTTTTCACAATTGCACTTTTTCCTCCTTACATTCGTTCAAAACTCCTTTCTTTCCCTACTTGTTAGACCATAATATTACATCTTCATCTTTATTTACTTTTTTTACTCCTCATCGTTTTTGTGCTTACACCTCAATAACAGATAACCGAATTTATTCTAAACTTGTGTTCTAGCATTTGATTGTAACATTTAATAAATTTCTTTTTAACTTTCTTAATATTATCTTTTCCATATTTCTTTGGTAAATTTTAAACTTGTAAGTTAATGGGAGGGCATAAGTGTTCCTTAAAAATTATTATTTTTAAAAAGTAAAACTTTCCCAGTAATTAATAATTATAAGATTTATATAAAGTGATATATAAAAAAATATATAACAATTAGCTAATTATCATATAAACATTTATACTATAATTATTATTTTTTAATATTAAAACTATACCAGATTCAATTATCTATTCCGAATAACCTCAAATCAAATATTGTATCTCAATGCCTTACTCAGTTTACTTAGACTCTTTCAATGGAGTGAAGTAGCCATAATTTATTCATCCACGCCATATTTTGCCTGGTTCAGGGATCAATTAAATGCTGCAACTACTCGCGAAAAGTTTTGCATTTGGCATGAAATCGAAATAGAAACTTTTAATGTCAATATGTCGAAGGCATCCTTTGAAGCTTTGGTGAATAAAACAAAAGCAAGAGTTATTTTTTTATTCCTTCACGATTATCAATTTGGCGATGTCTTAAAATCAATACATTCCATAAATTCAGATCCAGATTTTATATACATAGGGATTGATACTTGGCCATCGACAGAACAGTTAGTAAGGCTGGGCTTAGCAAAAATGGTCGAAGGAGCAATAACTGTTTTTCAGTTTGGTAGTGATTCAGCCAATTATTCTTCTTGGTTGCTAAACAAGGATAAAATTATTGATCCATATCATCCATGGTTTAATAGCATTAGGAATAGGCTTTTAAATCATGAAAACGATACCCTGTTAAATTTAAACACAAGTAATGGTATTAAATTAGATAAGAGAATTTCTCTAAGTATGGATGCCACCATGGCTTTATTGTTTTCTATTGATGATCTTATAAGGAAAAAATGTTCTAATATTAATAAAAGCCAATTAAAAAATTGCATAATTGATAACAATTTAAAGCCCTATCTTCTAAATGTCTCATTTTATGGAATGTCAGGTAAAATTGATTTTAATTCGGATCGATCAGTAAATAACCCATTAAGAATTGGTAACTTTCTAAAATTCAATAGTCGTTACGATTTATATACGGTAGGAAGTTATGAGTCTAACAAGGAAAATGGGAGTCAATTAAAATTGATTTCGAATTTCACATGGAGAAATTATACATACTACAATAATCTAACGGCACCAACTTCACGTTGTTCTGCACCATGTCAAATAAATGAATACAAAATGTCAACCTCAAGTAAATGCTGTTGGACATGTCGCACCTGTAACGAAAGAAGTAGTATTTTTACGCCACAATATCAGTTAAGAATGAATAATTTCCGGAGGTGCTTATCCTGTCCGAGCTACAAATGGCCCAGTTTAAACAGAACCGTATGTATCAACATGCCAATTATTAATATCAGACACTACACTAATTATTGGAAATTAATAAATGTTATCGCTTTTATAGGGATCCTTTTTGCTATTACTATGGTCATATTCTATATACAAAAATATCAATCTACCCCGTTCAAATTAGAATTTCGATCTTTATTGTATTTGCAATACGTGGGAATATTTTTTGGATTTATATCTGCATTTCTTGTAACTAGTCCTCAGCCGGATAAACCTAAATGTGGGATCGCATTATCTTTGTTCTTGTTATCAGTTTCCCTGATTTTTGGTTCTTTATCAAGTAAACAGAATATAATAGTTAAACGATTAAGAATTAACAAACCGGGATTCAAGGATATTAAATATGAAAAGCGCGCACTTATCACTGCCATTCTAATATGTTCCGTTCAGGTAAAATCTATATTTCAGTATTTTTTTGATAAAAAAATAGGATGAAAAATCAATCATAGTTTTGTAGATTAATTTTAAAATATTTTTCTGTTATATTTATTTGCTAAAATTCTAACGAAACATCATTATACATCTTTTGTCGATATTTTTTCTTTACCTTCTATGAGTGACCATAGAAAAAAGGAAAAAAGAAGTTATAATGGCCATCTTCATAAAGGAGTACCTCTATAAAGTGACCTATAAATAAAGATGTTTGATCTTCATGATCCAAGAACTTTCGTTTTGGTTGTTGGGATCAACATACTGAATTTCTAAAATGAATTTCCTTGTATTTTTTTTCAAAAATAGAAATTCTCTATCTAACTATATTATTCTTTATTTTTCATAACTTCTAGTAGCAAAGTTTGTTAGCAGCCCTATTTAATTATTGATGAGCCTTTAATTTAGTTATCAATTTCAGGAAGTTAGTCAGCCACCCAAATTTTTTTAGCTATAATCATTTTAGTGTTTCATGTCTCACCCCGTTAATTTTGTCTCATTCCATAATTTTCTCTTATCGAGTGACTCATAAGAACAATGCCTCTCGATGCAGATCACTTATATCAACAATAAAGACCTGATCCTATCAATCTTATACGTTTGTTTTCTAGTTTTCAGTTGCTTGGGATTACAAATGAGTTAATTTTTTTTTAGCCCGAATCAATGTTAGTGCAATTTGTTCAGCGGAACTCTTAATGAAATATCTATTCCATTGTCACCAATACCTAAGGAGTCTTGTGAGAGCTAAAAATTGATCATATTAGGTAGAAAATAAAGCCAAATAAGTGAAGATTTTAATAAAGCTTTCTACCTAAATCATGTCATTAAAATAACAATTCATCAAATCAATTGCTGTTGTTCATAGAAATGCAAATAAACCTATTTCACTTTTTAAGTCTTATTTAATTATGCTATTTTTTATAATCATGATTTGTTTTTATTTATGAATTTCTTTATTAAATAAATCAATAAATAGAGGTAAGAAGAAATCAAAATATTATTTCCACAAGCATTTGTGATTGGTCACCTTTCTAACTCATAGCCAAATATGATTCGTTTTTTGAAATTAATTATGATTCACAACCATTTTTGTTTCATGACCATTTGTGGCAATTTGTTATTCTCCCGAATATAGTTCACAGGAATTTGTGTTTCGTCACCATATGTGATTCACCATCATTTATAATTCACAACAATATGCCATTCCCTTCATTTTTGATGGACTATTTGTATTAACTTATTATTTAATATAGGTAAAAAATAAAACATGTAAACAATTTAAAACAATACAAAAATAAAAACTATCTTAGAAAGAGGGAAATAAACAAAAAGAGGTCTTCTTTGCAAGGAAATTAAGATAAGTGTCTTGAAACACGGAGATTTGAGTTGATTGTAAGATTTTAAGGATCCATGATTATAATAAATTTAGAATTATTTTTTACCTAAAGCCTCATAAAAATGATAGCATACGGGTCATGGAACCCATTAGTGGAAATAACGATTGGAATAAAGGTAAATCTGAAAAGTCCTGGTACTTTCTAATATTTTATCTTGAGTTGGAGGAAAATTGGGTGATACAAGTGAAATCCCAAATAAGGTATTTTCCTCTAACCCAAGGAATGTTTGTTACCCCATCTGATTTCTTCCTCAGACAAGGATAAAATATTATATTTACTATGTAAAAATTATTTTTAGATTTTTGTGGTGGCTTCATACTTTATGATGGGGAACAGTTCTATATTACGTGTTGAAAATTTTACAAAATATATATCGCGTTCTAAAAACACAAACAATTCTGATACGACTCCTCTTGTAAGTGAATATTGTTCTCCTTACCCCATAAATAATGGCTTCCTCATCATAGAATTATGTTTTCAGATGCTGATTTTGATGTATTTATGCGCTCAAACCATCCAGATAAATCTAAAATTCACTCAGGCATATATGGAAATAAAAAATTTGCAGATAAATATTTTATCGAACGTTTGTATTTATATTTTGGGCGTATTGATTTACTTTTCCTTACCCGGTATCGTTTCGATCATCGTATTGCTTATAATATTTATAATATTTCTTTATGTGCAAATTTTCTTTAATACCATATCAAAAATAATTGCCATGAACAAGATGAGGCAACTCAGTTTAGTTGCCTCTTAAATACTCCCACCGCCCCTGATATTTTTCCTTAATAATTATTATTTTAATTTGCTTATTACTTAGTGTTTCTCTCAAGAAAATTTAAATGATATTATAGAAACTATTTATCATATAGGTGATTAAAATATGTACCTATTGATATAATTATGTATTATACTTCATAATTTACTTATTTTTATGAGTTAAATTTACTATTTATCGTTTTATTTTTAATTCTATTGTTATATCTTATTAAATTTGACATTTAAACCAAGATAATTTATAATAATATCCGTAACATTTCCTTTAAGTAATAGCGGGAACATTCCACATTCAACAATATTCATTTCATTCAAATCGTCACTTAGAAACTTAATATAAATATGCCAAGATTTGCAGATACAATTCACTATTTTAATATCAATCTCATAATTACGAGGTTTAGCTCATTTCCTTTGTATATTTAAAGAACGGATTCATTATTTAATATTCCATTGTTATTTTTAATTATTGTTTTGAAAATATTGTATATGTTATGTAATAAATTGAAAGAAAGCGTAAAATCATCAATTTATAATTTATTAAATTGATTTATTTTACGTATTGTGCACGATTTTAAATTTCATTTTATATGAAAAAATCAGAAATTAAAGAACCCAATGACCTAAAAATTTTGGACTTGATCCAGTAATAAAAATTAATGAACAGTATTATTTATCAATAATCTTAAGTTTGATATTTTTTCTTTAGGGCCAAATGAAAGCATTGAGTAAGAAAAGCTAAAATATTTTGCGAATATAAATATTAAAGCAAAAATTTAATATTGTTAAAAGAAAGTGTAAATTAAAATGTGAATGGTTTAAAAAGAGAAGGTGAAATATATAAAGATTTGAATTGTTGAAAATAGAAAAGAAAAAATTTTCATTAATCATGATTTAAAAAAATGTGTGAAATACCAGAAATGAATTTAAAAAAAAATAAATTATTTAATAATTGGTAGTATTAAGAAAAAAAAAAGATAGTAGTAAAATGTGTTTAAAATAGTTTCATTTTTAAAAGTAGTTTACTGTTAAAATTTATGTATACAAATGGATAATATTATATATGTAGTATGGGGATTCGGAATACGTGGGGATTCGAAATCTCTTGATTTTAAATCCTTTACCGATGGCGATTTTAAAAAATTTAAAATCCGATTCAACCGGCAATGTATTCTAGCATGTGTAGAATATTTACCCTATAAATTTCAGCCAATTTTAGCATGAACTTAAGAACTTATTCTAATTTATATTAATATATATATATTTATTTAACCCTTTATTACACAAAAATTACTTAAAAAAGGGCATTTAATACACTGTGGGACAATTTTACCAGGCTTGATTTTTTTATTTTATTTAATACACAGATGATGGGATAAATATATCCAATATAAAAAATAATATTATTTATGTTTATTTAAATATTTTCGCGCCTTTTTATTTTATTTTATGCAAAATATTTTTTATATAATTTTTAAATCTACTTTAGCAAAATTCTGGTATATTTGATAAATAAAAATGATAAGAAACATATATATTCTATATATTTATCATAAATATCAATATTTTTAAAAATTATAATTTATTTTTTTGACAGTTACAACAAAAGTATTCGGTCATTTTATGTACTGCTGTGTAATAATGCTTATTTTACATTTATTTTTTAGAAATTTTATGTTTTTGATAAAAATTTTTAGTCTGATATAAGTACTTCGGATTCTTCTTTTGAAATATATTCGGAGGAAGTCGAGGACAACCTAATTGAATTAGATTGGTGGGTAATTACAAAACCAATATCCCTACCAAGTTTTAGAATATTTAAGAGTTTTCTATGAAAAATTTTCGATTAAAAATTATCGAGAATCTTCTATCTCAAAAGATTATTGACTTGGGGGGATCATCATCCTTACAAAGCAATTCAATATCGACTTCTTCAAAATTTCATAAAAAATATATCGCTGATGATATAAGGTAAGGACATCCTGGGCATGTTCTATTTGTAAAGTTTCTCAATGTATTAACGCTAAATGAAATTGTTTTATTTCTTTTCAACAAAAACTAATTTATATAATACACAGTCGGACAAAAAATATCCCTCCCCCAGTTATAAATTATTTTGTCATAAAATTTAAATAAATATCAAAAAATAAAATTTTAAATAATCTCAGTAATTATTTTATTTAAGTTTTTTATAGGTGAGCAATAGAGGTTATGTTGAAATGGAGTAATAAAGGGTTAAATTAAAAAATAATAAAATGTCTATAGCTGAAATTTATAGAGTAAATATTCTACACTGCTAAATTACATTTCCGGTTAAGTCGGATTTTAATTTTTTTTAAATCACTCTCGGTAAAGGATTTAAAATCAAGAGATTTCGAATCCCTACGGATTACGAATCCCCATACGACATATATATAAGTGTGTGACAAATAATAATTTAGATTTTAAATCAAGTAAGAGGGCGAAAAAAGACACTATCATAGGAATGAAAGGCCTCATGAAAAAATTTAATTTTGTCCTTTAAAGGTGTAATTTGTCCCACCTAAAAATAAAAATACTCAGCGGAACATATTTTTCCATTTCAAATTGATTTATTTATATAACATAAATATATCCCACCTAATAAATAATATCATTGATATTTTAAATATTTTCGTGAGAATGTTTTGCGTTTTATAAATCCCGCCCTTTTATTTTATATTATGCAAAATATTTTTTATAAAAGTTTAATATTAGCAAAATTCTGGTATATTTGATAAATAAAAAATGGTATATCCTACAACGATAATGATACTTCCAATTTATTTGAGATAACTGATTTTGGACTATTTTAAGCCGAAATCTTTATTATTTAGGTTTCTAATATAATCATCGTATTGAGAAACAAAACTTGGCAGGGATATAGGTTTGGTGGTTGCTTTCCAGCTTAATTATATAAGGATTTTTTCAATTTATTGAGTTTACAAAGGATGGATCAGAATAGCTGCATTAATCAGATTAGATAATAATTTTACTAATTTTATCAAAAATATAAAACTATTCTATTTTTTTAATTAAATAGGCATTATTGTGCAGCGGAATAGATTTTATGTAACTGTTAAAGATATAAATGATTTTTTTTTAAATATTTATTTCTGATAGATATTGCGGATGATTTTCGGAATAAATGATTGCTAAAATATTGAGAAAGTGATGTTACCACTGTGGTATAAAAAAGTGAAGTTATAACATCCTGTAAAGTTTTGCAATGTAAAAACGAAATTGTTTTTTTTTCTTTTCATAATAATAAAAATTTATTTTCTGTTTTCATAAAAAATATCCCTCCCCTATTTATAAAATATTTTGTAATTCTTATATTTTAAATTAGAAATCTTGAATAAATTTTAAAAAAAAATCTCAATCATAATATAATCTAAGTTTTTATAGGTGATTAATTTATAATATAAATAGTATGGATGAATATTTTAGAATTATAAACTAAAGAAAAGAAAATAATTGTGTTAATATTGAAAATAAAGTATTTTACTGACTTACAATTTATTTACCAAATAACCACAACAATGACTGATACCAACCATGAGATACACGGTCAACTACCTATTAAATAAATTATATGATAAATTACCAATTTTAAGAGCAAAGCTGAATAAAAATATTATTTTCAACAAACTCCATATTGAGTGACTAACATTACTCTAACTTGCCAAACAGCAGTCAATATGTTCAAAACTTAAAAAAAGACATAATAAAATTTTAATTAATTGTAAAAAAACATCAAAAAGCTTATAAATTTAATTTATTTTCTTAAAGTTTTTTTATAAATAAACTCCTTCTTTTTTAATTTTAATTTATATATTTTACATTTTTATATTAATGTCAAATCATTCTTTGGATACATAAATGTTAGTAGCAATGTGTTTTTCCCGGCAATGTGTTATTTTTTCAACTTTAAATCATTATTTTAGAACATTTTAAAATTAAAATCTAATTTTGCCAGAAATGCATTCCAGCCTTAGGGTCATTTATAATTTATATAAAAAATCTATGGAAAAACTAATATAAATTATATTAAGTTCAAAAGTTTATGGCAAAATTGTCTGAAATTTATAGGCATTCCATACATGATAGAATATATTACCGGTAAAATCAAATTTTTATATTTAAAAAAACTCGCTCAAATATTGATTTAAAATTGAAAAAATAAAATATTGTCGGAAAAAACACAACGCTAACATAAATAAAAATAAAAATAATATATAATATATAATATTTTTAATGGTTATGGATGATGAAATTTATATAATATACATAACATCGTATAAGTACAGGATTCTTATAATGCATAGATAAAGGTTTAAACTCTTTGATGGACATGATGAGATTTTGAAACCACCCCTTAAAATCATATTTATGCTACCAGCGCCAGTTACTCCATCTGAAGCCAACAAAATATTAAAATTTAATATATTTTTATAAACATTCCAAATTAATAGTTATATTTGAAACAGGAGCTAATCATAATATAACATTTATTCTTAAATTTACCAACGTTAAAATTTTAAAAAATATCAGATTTTATATTTTTAAAGTTATAATATAATTAATTTTGAGTATTCAAACATAAATAAGATGGAAGTCCCCTTTTAATTATTTTTTAAAATTACTACATTCTGATATGACTGGGGGAGGTGTAATTTTGAAAAATTTTAATTATATTTCATTTATATAGATAAAAATAAAACACATTAATATAAACAAAAAATTATCGGGCACTTTTTTTCGAGCCTCAAAGGATTAAAATAGTAATAAAGATTCACTTTTCTTTTTTATTAAAATATATTGGGTTTATTTATTAAATTTTATTAGATAAGAAAAAATAACTATTTGGAAAGAAATGCCTCACGATAAAATGGAGACCCACTCAGAAAAAATCCTAAAACAAAATAAATTAAATTGGTGAAAAAGACATGAGAAGAATTGATTTTACTGGTTGTGAAGTTTAGATAAGTGTGGAAAAGTTACTATAAGGATACGTGTTACCCTTGGTCACCAGAAGTAATACGTTATATAATAATTATCAACTATAAAATTTCACATAATCATTTTCATTTGAAATAATCGAATAATTTTTTTGATTATTGGCGAGCCAATAAAAATAGAGATCTCAAAATTTATCAATTAGATTTTTTTTATACATACATACAATAAAAAAAACAAATTTTCAACAAAATTTTTTTCAATCCCATAATAAAGGTTTGAATATTTTTTCCTAAATTTTAAATTGAAAATTCTATCTAAATATAATTTTGTGTATTTACCATCATTAGTTAAAGCTGCTGACTTCCTAATGATAATGATTTGAACATCTTTTTCTGGATTTTAAATTTTAAATTCTATGAAAAAAAAAGTTTTGTGTTTACCATCACTAGTTTTGATAAAGCTACGGATTTAATTTCGTTGCATTTACGTCGATCTAATAAAATTTATATTATTTTATTACTAAATAAATCTCTCAAATTCCAATAATTTCGCTTAATTTTAATTTAAACTAGTTCTATAAGTTTTTCAATAAACAAAAAAACAACCTTTTTATTTCTAAATTTTTAAAATGTTTAAATATTTAATTTTATTTGAAAAAAAAAATACATTACTTTTGCTTTTTAACTTAAAAATCATGTTTTATTATCAAAGGAAGAACTCTAATTTATCACCATTTAAGATTTGTATGTTTGAATTTGAAGTATTAAAAGCAATATCAAAGAAGATTTCTCTATCATTAAAACTTTTTATCTTTTTATAATGTTAAAAAGCCTGACGAGTGGATTTTTAAAAAGGACCCAATTAAAAATTTAGCCTAAATAATAATATATAATCCTCAAAATTAGGAAAATAGAGGTCCAAAAACAAAATCTCTAGGCTATTTTGGCTAAAATATAAATTAGGTCGTTTTTCGACGCGAACCTAGCTTTTTAACAACCCTAAGGGAATTCTCCTTTAACAAATTAGATATTAAATATTATTTTAAGCTAATAAAAAGCCACAAACTATTTCCACACCTTTTCCCCTAAAAATACCAAATAAAAATTTCGAATAAAGAATGCCATCCCTGACAATGGCCTTCAAAAATCGGGGTCAGTTTAATATAATTTATTCTGAAATGTTACCCAAATGTCTTTCTTTCCTATCCTAGAATTATACCTATTTATATTTCTCGGTTAGTGAAATCTATAAATTCAAATTTATTTGCACTTTTTTGAGTGTCACGTTAAGTTTTAAAAACCACAGCTTAACTCTTTAATTGAACGATGAATGTTAAAAATTATACTTCGGCAATATTTTAATAAATAAATTATTATCGTATCATTTAAAATAATTTCTTCTTCATGCTAATTCCTTAGCAGATAACATAATACCATTTATCTACTGATACCCCCATACTGCCTGGTATCTGGCCAATATTCAAATATCTAGTACTGATACTTATAAATTAGTAAAAGATACACATAAAAAATGGCAAATTAAAAATGGAAAACAAATATAAAAAATTAAGGAAGAAATGTATTAGAATTACAGCTGAAACTCCCCCTGAGAATATTAATTTAAGCAAATAAATTTATCTATAATATTTTAAAATAATTTTATAGATATTCATTATTAAATAAATTATGTTTAGTGTAAATATATATTTTTAATGCTCGTTTTAAACTGGAATTTTTAGGAAAAAATGGTAGAAATAAGTGTAATGATATTTTTTTCTATAATATTCCAATTGAATGAGAACAAAATATAAAAAATGTTTAACATATTTTGTTATCGTTATAAGAGTTTTTGCTCAAAAACAACGGTAAACCATCTAATAAAAGTTATAGATTTGAGTTTTTTCCCGGTTGTTTTTAGTAAAGGCCTAGCTAAACGGAATAGGTATAATATATTTATTTCTTGGAAGAGAATGAAAAGCAATAAAAGAATTTTAAAAATTAAATATAGATTCGTAAAACACTTATTATTATTTTATTTAAATAAAATGTACTAAAATACTAAGAATTTCTTAAATAAATTATAAAAATATCTAAAACATTTAACAATAATGCTTAGAGGGGTAAATAATTTGGTTGGGATAACATTCATATAAAAACTTTACAAATAAAAATAATTGCGACATTTATACTAATCAACCACCTATTCTATATAAATTCTCAATAATTGATATAAATAAATATGATTATGCTTAATAACATAAATATATAAAATATAAATTAATTAATAATAATATGCATTTTTAATTATTAAAATAAATTTATGAAATATAGTAAAAATATAATATATAGAGTTTTGATGTTAACAATAATTTTATAAGAAAACTATAGACCATATATTTATTTTATAAATTGCTAATATTTTAATTTGTAATTTCAATATCTTTTAA